TATACTCTAAGGTTTGAGGAGATCATGAAAGATACTTGATGATGTTTTACAAACCCCAAGAATGCACCAACTTTTGTTAAGTTCGATAAATGTGAGTTCGATTGGAGGGAAATAGCCTTTCTAGGTTATACAATATCTAAGTTAGAAAATCCTACAGAAATTTGGAGTTCTTGGTGGTAGTCGAACCTTTCCTTTGGTTTGATCAAGGAATTTTCTAAGAGTGCAAAACTTGGCAAGTTATTTGGGATTTTAAATGTGAGGAAGAATTTTAAAAGTGAAAGATGTTTGACCGATGCACTTGTGTTAGTCCTATCGAGCGGAGGAGGTAGTTTTATGATTTATCCAGATGCTTTAAAGGATAGATTAGAATGTATACTAACGATACATGGTGAGGTGATTGTGTATGTCTTTAGAAAATTAATAAATCATGAGAGAAAGTAGCCAACTCATGATTTGGAGTTAGTGGCGGTAATAGTAGCATTAAGAGTGAAGACGTTACTTAGGTGAGATAAACATAAGGCCGATTAAGTTGCCCTATGATCAGGGAATTAAAATATCTAATGAAGAAAATCAAGTTTTGATTACTAATTGAATGAATAGAAATTGTGACGTATAAGTTGGAAAACGTAAGTTAGTGATTGGCTTGATAGGCTTGACCATGAAGAGATTGATTTGTAAGTGAATTTCGAGGGCGAAATTCTTTTTAAGGAGGGGAGGATGTGAGGACCCTAAAAATTTCTTATTTTTATCGAGTATTATTGGTTTATTTAAATATTTATTCACCTGTTTTCTCCAAATAATTCATTTCACCCATTCTAAGTCTATTCATATGGAACAATGTCTTCCTTATGTTTTTAAAACGTTCCGTTAGCAAATTTAATTTTCGAAGGTTCGTTTAAGTGAGGAATAATGAATACATGTGTTTCAAAGTGATATTCTATTCGAGAGTGCATTTATCTTGGGGAGTTAAGAATGATCAATAGTAGATTAAGAAAGGTTAATTGAAGAATTAAAGGTGAATGAGTTCTAAGTAGGTGTATACCACTTGCGCGTCGATAATTTTTCGAAAGACGCACTGATACAAATTTATTGGAGATTTGAGAAAGTAATACAAGACACATGTGAAGACTCACAAAATTCATCTATTTTAAACTCCTAATTCAAGCTCATTTAATTATTTATTTGGCCTATTGTCCGAAATATTATTTTCTAACCTCTTTAGATCTAATTACATGGGTCTATAGCTTCGTTATATTTTTAAAGTGACTTGTTTCAAAATTTAATTTTTGGAAGCTCGTTAAGTGAAAATAGTGAATACGCGATTGAAGTTAATAATTGATTCAAGAATACAATAAGTTTGGAAAATTAGAAGCTTGCACAATGGTTTTAAAATAGGTGTTTTTATGCTTAAGTATTCAAGTGATAGTTATTAGTACCATCATTATAAGAATTTCTTGGAGATTTCACTTTATTGCGCTTAAATTGGAAATACGCGTTTTACACGCGCGATTTAATTAAGGGACTTTAGACCCTTATTTTGGAACAATTAAGAGTGAATAATAATAATATGAATGAAAGTGCATTAGAGGTTTAGTGCACTAGTGCAACAAACTCGAAAGGAATCGAGCACAAAACGTGCGTGTGCGCGCGGGGAGAGAGTTGACTTTTGAGGTCACTTTAACCACACACTTAAGATTCCTCAAGAAACTTTTTCATCAGCACACAACTCTCTCTCTCTTGCTCAAGACAGCCGAACCAAGGAGGAAGAAAAACAGCTCCAAATTCTTCTCCATTTCACCACTAAATCTTCACCAAATCACACCAAAATTCAACCACACTTTGCTAAGCACTTGGAGAACATCTTAAGCTACAAAAGAGCTTACTTTCCACGGTTTTTCTTGGGTTAAGGAGGACCAAAAATTTCTGTCTTGATCATCTAAGAAGGTAATGGACTATCAACCCATCAAATCTTGCATTATGGAAGTTATATTGCACGTATAAGCATATATATTCATGTGGGTAGCTTGATTCATGTTGGAAAATTGTTGTGTGGGCTCTATGAACTCCCACTTGGATTGGATGGACTGATTTGGTGAATGATGATGAAATTAATGTTGGTTTAGTGCTTATATTAGTGGAATAATGTTGGGTTGTGGATAGAAACTCAAGGATGGTGCAATGAGCAAAAGTGACCATTTTACCCTTGCCATGTTCGTGCACTTTGGTGCGAAATTTTGAAGTTCTAATGGCTTGTTTGTGATGTATATATGTTATATGAATGGTGTAAAAAGTTTCATTGATAATAACATGATTTGGTTGGTCAAATGTGTTGATTTCCAAAGTTTGGCAGAACTGGAAAATTTCCCGGATTGCCCTAGCAATCATCTTATTTCGGTTATAACTTTTTACTCCGATGTCAAAATTGAGTTCCGTTTGCGGCACTGGAAACTAGACATTCCTAGCTTTCTAATGGTATAAAATGCATATCCTGGTTCCACTTGTATGAGCCAAACCATTCGTTTGAAATTTGCTATCCTGTTTCGTTGGTTCACTACAAGGCAGAACATGAACTACAACTTGATGCTCAAATGTGAGCTAGTTGTGGACGGATTTTGAAAATGGTTTTTTCTGAGAAATTGTAGCTTTATGAACGTGTTTTCCAATGCCACCAACCACGTCCAATTTCGGGTTGAATTGAGTGATAGTGGCCATATTTCAAAACTAACTTCTTGAAGGAAAACTCTCCTTTTGGGCAGAATTGTTACTAAACTCGATTGAGACTTGTTAATTCGAGATTCTTGGTGTTAATCACCCAAAATTGTGTTTTGGGATACCTCTTAGACATTTTCTATGCAAATGGACCATGTTTGAGGAACTTTGTAAGCCAAACGTTTTGTAAACGGAAAACGAGACTCACAAGGCAGATTTGCCTTGGAATTTTTGGAAATTGGGTGATTTGGTTAACCAACTTTCCGTGCTTATTTATCCATGAAATTTGGCAGAGAAATAGTCCTTATATGGTAGTATTATACGGCTAATTTTGGTGCTATTCCGAGGCTGTTTCATTACTCAACTGAATTTCCAAAATTCATGACTTGATTTTGGAAAACCCTTGTTTAACAAGGAAATTTGGGTAACTTTGACCTACCATATCTTGGTGCTCAAAACTTCAATTCTCATTCCACTTGTTCTATTTTAAATTTTGATTGAAACTCTAGTTGAGTTTCAAATTTGAGAGGCTAGTTCCAATTTTGTGAATTTTCCCGAATTTTTCAAGTTGGCGAAAAACCAACCCCGAAATTGCCTCGATAGTCTAGAACAGAAACTTTGAGCCAAAATTTGAATATCTTCTGTTTGGAATCATAGAAAATTGTCTTCTAAGAACTTTTAGTACTTTGAAAGGTGTTTCCAACGGTACCAAGTTTTCTAATTTTGGACTTACAGAGAGTGAGATATGATTTTTCAAAATAAGTGCACCAAATCTGAAAATTCATAACTTAAAGGAAATGGAGTTTTTCCAAACTTTCTCTTTTCCTGTGATATCACTTGATCGTTTTACACTCAATTTCAAAGATGGAAATCAGATTTCGCTTGTGTTTTAAAACCCCACTTTTGAGTCTCGATTTACGAATAAGTAAGGCTCATTTTCGTGAAATTTTCTGAGATCGCACAAGTGTGCAATCTTTCTTAATAATTAGGGTTTATATGTGATTGTTCATTACTAATTGCTCAGGCTTGCACGAGAACCCTCAAGAGGATCCCACGGTGGACACTTGAACTTCAAGTGCCCTTTTCTTCCTCATTACTTATATTGGTGAGTGTCAAGTGTATGGATACTTGATATATGCTTAATTGTTATAATTGTTTGGAGATTTTAAAAATGAAGGCGAGTGTGTACTTTACCGCACTCGTTCTTATTTGAAATGAATGACTCATGATTGAAATGAAACGAATGAATTATGAATGACTTAATTGAATGAAATGAGATGATTGAATGTTTGAATGAAATGAAATGGTATGCTATGGCTGCATACGTCATTGGAGTGAATCTTCTCAACTCTCAAATGTTAACTGGGGGACACCCAAACTCATAGGTAAACCTTGGACTCGAGCCGGCACGGGTTTGGTCGGGAACTTTGGCGAGTCATGAGAATTACATGATAAGTTTGATCTATTGGAGAGATCTTGCTTGGCATACTCGTTGAAGTATCGCCTTATAAATGACATTCGGGCCCGGTGGGAGTATGTACGGTGGACGGATGGAAGTAAGTGGTGATTTACGGATTGAAAATACCAACCTGATTGACGGAGTGTCATCGCGGAAAGGTATACGAATAACCTTGGCAAAGCAAGTGGAACTTAGCTCCTGTGAGCTACCACATCCTTGAATTGTTTATGTTTACATCTTATTGGAATGATCAATTACTTGTACTTTATCAATTGACCTGTTATTTGGACCTGTTATTTGGGCTTGTTACTTGGACTATGTGCTTGCATGTGTGTTCTTGACCTCACGAGCGTTTTGCTCACCCTGTAGATTTGTTTTCCTTAACAGGATTTGAGTTTGGAATGAGGTTCGGAGGAAATTATCTTTTGTGTACTCTTGTAATAGGGTTTCAACTCTTTTGTCTAGACTTTTAACTATTGTATATTTTGGACTGTATTATGGAATCCCAATGTAAGGATTGGGTGGTTGTTATATATATCGTTAAGGTCGAACGCTTCCGCACTAATTGTATTTATATTATCTGGTTGTTGACTTCTAGCACCGCTATAAGCTTGAATAGAAATTGCTTGAGTCCTGGCAAGAGTTGGGCAGGCGTTCCGCGGATACCCTTTGGTTCGCCTTAGGGAGAAGTGGGAGCATCACATCTTACCTTCTTCTTCAAGATTAATCATTTCTTCTGGCGACTTAAAGCTGGACAATGTAGCTGTACATGAATGTTTCGCAGTCTTTCTTTTGCGTTTTTTTGGATTGCCTCCTCCTGATCTTTCTATACCTGGATGCCATCCAGTTTCTCCAAATGGAAAAAGTAGTGGATACTGAAGAGGGTCATAGCAGCCATAGTAATATTGAATGCTGTGGCTGTGTCCTTCTTTTGTATATATCTGTATGTGTCTAGAATAACCTTAATTAGCGTTGTCTCCTTCAACCCATAAAGCTGCAACTTGAGATACAGCGGGTTTATTAAACACTCGCTGGTCATTGTCGGAGTGAGATTTTAATACTATCTGATATGAGTCCAAGTTTGGGACATTTCTCGAACTCCTAAAGAAGCAAGCATATGGATTTTCTTTCATTACTTCCATTAGCTTGACTACAATATTTTCGGTCAGCCTTTCTGATATGGCTAATCGATTCTGAATTTCATGTTCTATGTCATGTAAAAAAAGCTGAAGATACATTCCTAATCCTCCATGCGGTATTAGTTCATTGATAAAATGGTAGGTTTGGCCTTGTATCTTGAATGTATAGATTCCGTTTGTCCTCTTGCAAAGGGATTTGTTATAGTGAACACCAAAGGAAGTACATGCAAACATGCTATTATAGGTCCTGACATAGGTTCGGAAATGTATAGCTTCTTCACTCTGTCCAGTAAAAAGTTCAATTAATACATCAGGTAACTTATTTTCATGGAGCACAACCTCGCCATCAGAACAGCAAAAGTTTGCTGTCTCTAAATAAAATTTTTTCGCTCCACAATATTTGCAATCTAATGCATCAGGGAGATGGTCTGCATTATGGGGCTAATTGATTAGAATATAGGTGTAAAAAAGAAAAGTCAGACACTTGCGGATCTGACAGAGTCCATGTATAAAACTATGGGTACCAGGCTGAGACAGCCCGGCACCTGACAGAAACTTTTTTTTTTAAAAACATGTCAGGTGCCGGGCACCTGACACATTTTTTTTTTGAAAAAAGATGTCAAGTGCAGTTGCAATTCATCCAATTGAGTCAATTGAGTGAATTGCAATTCACTTTATTTGTTACGCTAGTTGATAAATGCAATTCACTTTAATTAGTTTAGTGGATTAATTAGTTTAATTAATTGAGTGAAGTAATTTTAAGAGATTCGATTAAATGCATTTAATTAAGGTGATGGTTTAATTTGTTATTTATTAAATATTCATTTATTTGTTATAAATGATTTAATTATTTAATTATAATGCATTATTTGTTGTTATTTGTTATTATTTGTTGTTATTTAATTACACTTTATTTGTTGTTATTTGTTATACTATTTGTTATTATTCGTTGTTATTTAATTACACTTTAGTTGTTGTTATTTGTTATTATTTCTTATAATTATAGAATCGCAATATAAATTATATATACTTGATTCAATTAATTAATTATTCAAATAAGCATATTAATGAGGTTCTAAAATGCTATCAACACTCGTCTCTAATAGGTATAACATGTCAAGTGATAATTGCTTGGTGATTCAAGTATATTGGGGTGGAAAAATTATAAACGAAGGAGGGTCAATTTCATATGATCCTTCTATACCGAAACAAGTGTTGTTCCTTACAGAGATGGTAGGTTATGATGATTTGGTAGACAAAATATACAATCTTTTGGGTTTAGATCGGAATCTTCTGGGTAGACAAAATATACAATCTTCATTACATGTTTGCTAAATATCAAATATTATAATATGGGAATTTAGCCTTTTATTATTTGAATGCTTATTGTTATTTTTATATCTAGCCATTTCACCGTTGTCACGCTATGCATTTTTTCCTCTTTTTTTGGTCCATTTTTTATATATTGCACAATAAATTTAGTTTTATAAAATTATAGTGAACATTAAAAATTACATAAAAATTCTAACAAATAATTTCTCAACAATTTGAGAACTACATCTTATTACAAAATGAATGGTATATTTTGTTTGAAAAACATTTTCGTAGTTTAACATCCTATAGGAGTAATTAGTGATTTTGCACAAATATATTTTCTTCTTTTTCTTACGTTTCAACTTTGAAATGTAAATTAATTAACTTAAATTTCAAAGTATTTAGTACTTCAGGTCGACTCAGCTTTTTATTAAACTTTTTTTCTTGTTTTGGTTTTTTGATTTTTTTTTGTATGGGAGATTTATGAAATTATCCTCACAATACAAACTACGAAAAAAATTCAGAACTTAAATAGATGTTCTATTAGTATGCATTATGTTCAATTGGTAAAATGCAAAAATTCAATATAAGTACCAACATGAGAATGAATACAAAATCTAAAATGTTTAGGGTTTAGGGTTAGGTTTAGGGTTTTGGGTTTAGGGTTCAAGGTTCAGGGTTTAGGGTTTAGGGTTTTGATCTGTAGGGTTTAGGGTTTTAGGGTTTAGGGTTTTTAGGTTTAGGGTTTAGGGTTTAGTGTTTAGGGTTTAGGGTTTTGATCTTTTGCATGATGCAACGTGTCACAAATTGCGATTGATAATTACTAATCATATCACAATTTCAGCCTTACGATATTTTCTTGAGAATAAAATGAGAAGCTATAAATGAAAGAGGAAAATTCAAAATTAAAAGAATATGTATACTAGATAATTGTATTTCAAGTCAAGTGATTTGAATTCTACTGGGAAAGTTTCGCTAAGAATTTTTTGTTACTCGGCACATTTTGTTTGGTAGACTTATTAATTTTTTTTATTTTTTAGAAAAATTCGGTCAGGTATCGGGCTGACACAGTCCGACACCTGATAGATTTTTAAAAAAAATTTCCTGTCAGGTGCGATTCTATAATTATAAGAAATAATAAGAAATAATTTAACAAATAACGATAAATAAAGGGTAATTAAATAACAACGAATAATAACAAATAGCATAACAAATAACAACAAATAAAGTGTAATTAAATAACAACAAATAATGCATTATAATTAAATAATTAAATCATTTATAACAAATAAATGAATATTTAATAAATAACAAATTAAACCTAATTCATCACCTTAATTAAATGCATTTAATCGAATCTCTTAAAATTAATTCACTCAATTAATTAAACTAATTAATTCACTAAACTAATTAAAGTGAATTGCATTTATCAACTAGCTTAACAAATAAAGTGAATTGCAATTCACTCAATTCGATGTGAATTGCAATTCACTCAATTGGATGTCACACAGCCTGGCACTTGACATCTTTTTTTTAAAAAAAATGTGTCAGGTGCCGGACAGCCCGACACCTGACATGTTTTTTTTTTTTAAAAAAAAAGGTTTCCGTCAGGTGCCGGGCTAAGACAGCCCGGCACCCATAGTTTTATACACACGCTCTATCAGATCCGTAAGTGCCTGACTTTTCTTTTTTACACCTACATTCTAATCAATTAGCCGCATTATGGCTAATGAAATTCAGAGCGTCTACACCAGCTGCATTTTTAGATGCTGTACAATAATAGGAATACAAAGCATTGTTATCACTATATTATATGCATATGAAAGAACTATAAATATTTGTATATGAACAGATATAACATAAAGAAATAGGAATGATATCTTTATTTTGCATGTAAGTTTTTTTTGCTCGGATACCTGATCTCCTTTGGCTTGAGCTTTTGCCTATAGGACAATAATGTCGCTAGTCAGGAAGTAATAAGTTCTGCAACATTTTCAGATACATTTTAGTTATACATACCTTTTGGATGATTTTTTATGACATTAGAAACATTGGTTTCCACTGGCTGAGGTTGTACTGTCATTGATATACCTGATTAGGTAAATAAAAAAGCGTAAGAACATAAATCAAATTCAGTGACCAACCAACACTGAGCAAATATTTGTAAAAATAGTATTAAGGGGTTAAACCTGCAAGATTATTAACTGTTTGATGCAAGAAATTAGAGCAACTATCACATATAGGAGGATCACCTACCAGATAAAAACAAAGAAATTGTTATATGAAACATAGAGTGATAAATATGATTATAACAAGATATACCTGACACATTTAGTTTATTGATTCTTCTGCATTTATAGTTGGACAACTTTTTTGATGAAGAACCTAGAAGAGCAAAAAAAATACAGAATTAAGGTAAACATAGAATACAAAATTACTTGTGTAAACATAGAATACAGAATTAATTTGTGTAGGCAAACCTTGTTCAAATGTTGAAAATACAGAATCATGGTTTTTTAGCTTGCCTTTTGATTTACCATTGGTTTTGCACAGAGAATTACTTTTGACAGCAATAGATTGTTGCAGATTAGTGTCTTTGTTTCTATTCTGTTGCAAAAGTTGTTTAACAGCAATACTCTGTTGGCTATTGTACTCATTGTTCTGTTGTACGTCACACCCAACTGGAAGTTCTATACCTGATATACAAGATTTTCATAATTCGCATTGCTTATAGAATTTTTTTTTTAATTCAGTATTAAGGTAACAAAAGAGAACACTAAAAAACTTCAAAAGTTCTTTTTTCTCCTCTTTATTTATGAAGAAAGTAATTTAGAAGCATGAGTCAGTGATTGAAAAAGAGGTGCATGGCATTGACGGGCTGGATAATATGGAATCTTAGTGGGAAAAACAAATGTTTATGGTGATATGCATTTATATCACGTTTATGGCTAGATATATATTTATATGCATTATGCACGTTTACTGCTTTACATCAGCTTAGTTTTTTTTTTTTTGGGAAAAACATGAGCTTAGTGTTACATTAGCTAATTGTTTTACGTTTGTTTTTTGGGAAAAACAAACGTTTACATCAACTGTTTTAAATTTTAACACCTCTGCTAGCTGTATTAACATTTCAAGTACTGCTCAGTTAGTATTATTTTTTGTATGCTACAATCCAGATTACTAGTATGATTGTAGTTTGTCTTACTGATGGTTGGTTCTTATAACAATTCTAGTTATCTCGTGAGCAGGTTTCTCATAAGAAAATTCTTTAAGTATTGCATCTCGTGAGCAGGTTTCTGATAAGAAAATTGTTTATGTATTGCATGCATGAGAAGCACCTTTATTCACTACGTTATTGTTCTTTTATTTCAAATGATGCATGACTGCTTTCTGCTACATACACAAATACAATATAAAGGCAAAACTGAATTAGATACCATCAGTTTGTTGTTGATTCATAGAAGACGTGGATGCAGCAGCTTTCCTTGCTCTCATTTTTTGATAAGCTTCTCTTTGTTTAGCTCTACAAGCTTCTTTTTCTTCCACTGATAAGGAAGCATATTTTTCTCTTAATTTTCGGTTG